GTAAGACAACTTTATGTTAATACTTTTTGTCGTTTAGTCAACTATATACGCTAGAAAATTGTTTATTATCACTATGTTTATGGCATACATGCATTTAAGACTTCACTGTGCAGTTAAAGGTTCACAATAGCCGTTCACAACTCGGAGAACTGATCGAAAACGTTTAATTATGTATCTATAACACGGACGTAGCCAAGGTATTTCCATACGGGCATGAAACATCAAAAATATATAATCAATAAAAGAATGAAACAAAATTAAGTATTACCACTTCTTAGACAATCATGTTAATGTTTGTAGTACACTACGTTAAATTAGAAACTATTACCCTACTCATACTATTACCCTACTCAATCATCTTAACCCAGAAGTCGCTTTATGTTGCACAGATATGTTTACATCACCTATTTGAACATGACGGCCCACAGAGAGTAGTTTTGGCTAAACCCCTTTTATTTTTTCAAAATCAAGTTAATTGTTTAAAATTTAAAATATTGATATTCTCCTTTACACGCCATGTCTTCAGCATAAACAGTTTTGACCATGAGCATGTTGGTTGAACACTAGTTGGCTAATGAAACAACATAAAATATTTAACCAGAAAGAATATATTACGTGTAAAAACATGGTCATGGAATATTTCAAATATACAAAATGTAATCATTTGTATTTACGCGCTCCGAAAAGTATACCAGCAAAACGTGTGAGTCAGTCTTCTGAATAGTCTTTCTCCTTTCCAGCATTAACACATCCTGTTCCCTCATGCATGCCCTTATTTGTCGTATGAAGTAATATTTGCATGGTTTTGTCAGCTTCTTCTAATATTTTAACCAAAATATGTTAAATATTTTTCATTTCCAAACGTTTCTTATACATACATTATTTTCTAAGACACTAAGGTAATCTTAAATATATACTGCAAGGCCTAACAAAATAGATCTGGTTTAGAACTTATATGGTGTCATCAAATACAAACATTGAATGGTAAAAATGTGATTGAATTTTATAAAATTAAATATATTTCATGGAAACGAAAAAATGTTGAAAGTAACACTTGTATAATGAGATATAATTTCACTCAATGTAAATAAAAAAAACTCACTCATGTGATACCTTTCATGCACTTACACCCCTCTTTATACCTGCTTTTCGTTAATTAATATTAGATTTGCATTCCCCTGTAACACACAATTTCTGCGAGGAAGTAAAAATTTGTCCCAAGACTGGCTCTCAAAGTCTGACCACTCTTAGTAGAATATGCGCTGCTCGTGGCTTAATGATTAGCTGATTTTCATCGATGAGATGGATTTAAATATTCTCATACATCAGTACATCTTTGTAGAGTTTGTAGTGTACAAAGTAAGCTCCGCTCATGTTTTGTCGGAGTTCATCCGATTCTTCTTCATCATTTACTTCACTTCATCATTATCGCAATTATCCACTTATTGGATGGTTGCTCTTCAATTTCTAAAATATAAATAAATAAGTAATTTGCTGCGGTGACGACTTTGTCAAAATCCGTCGCAAATCTCAGTACAGAATTTTGTCCATTACAATTCCTTAGTGGATCAACCGAGATTCGAAACAAAGCCCCAGATTTGCAAAACAACTGTCGCTTCCTCATTGTTGCTGGTTATTTCGAAATCTATGGGAAAAATGGGAACGTTTTTCCACATTGTATTTTTTTATTATTTAAACGTTGTATAATATTTATTCACAGCTTGAATTAATTATAAGAGTACATTTCGAAGTATTGGCATAAAATATATTTACATCGCTGTAAAACTTCTGAATATTACATTCGTGTGTATTGACATTCATTTCACTTTGCAAATTTTATATCGTTGCCAGCATGCCAAACATACGTACTCTCCTGTATTAACGTTTTTATTTCTCTTTGCATTAAGCTGGTATAACAATTAGCGTGATACAGAGCTTGTGTTATTCACAGTTTTTAAAATTCCATATATTTAAATCATTCCGACTTTAATTGTAGAGGATACTTGGTAACACGTAATTATTGCAATTTTCTTCCAAGTGTTTTATGTATTCATGTTCGTTCGTGAAATAACAGTGTTGTTGAATATGGACGATGTCTTCTGTAGCATGAGATTAGGACCTGTAATGATCTAATAGTCTAATAAAAGTGTATAATGACAAGTATATAATGACAGAGTCGCCAAATTCCTCAACTGAATCGTTTATTTCAAATTCGTCATTTCGAGAAAACTGAGAAAGCGTCTCCCATTTTAGGTTTTCAATTTTTTTTATTCATTAAAGCAGTTGATAAATGGATATTTTTCATATAAATATGCTTTAAACGATATGTCTATTCCCTTGGAACAATAACCCACTGCTAATGCGTGCTTCAAATTTTGTCGTTTGACGGGTTTCTGAAATAAACGATTCAATTGACCTGTTCCTCTTTTGCGTGAATCTGCCGTTCGCTTCTTTCCTCTCATGCGGAAAGTGATGCAAATCACACCAAATGAAAGAATTGAGATATACAATGTTTCCACACATGTCCCCTCACATGTGTAGATTATTTTGGTTCACTTAAAATTTCAAAAAGTCTTATAGAAACATCTCGGTTGGGGATAGAAGAACAAGAAACACTGGAACTGATTATTATTTCAGTACTCTGCCTATTTTCTGTGATTTTCTACTTCTGCCCCGAAATATTTCAGACTTTGCTAGAGAGCATCTAGACCAAAGAAATCAGTTTCAAAGACGTATGCAGGAAGAAGAAGAAGCAACTTAGGTTTCACGCACGTTAGGGAAGTCATGGTAAGTGAAGGCTGGATGGCCGAGGAATTTCTGCGTTACTTGAGGACATATAGACACTTCGACATATTTCTTGTCAAACCTACGTAGATAAATCGACCCACCAAATCGAGAAAACAAAATATTATAATCTAATCTAATACTATATTTTTGTTTTTCATGATGTTATACATTTTGAGTCCAATTGAAGATTTGCTACATTTCCATGTTTGCGACGAGGCTCCGAGATTCATTCTCTATGAATAACATAAGACAACGTTGAGTCTGAACAACGCATTATTTTCAACTTCCTTTATGCTTCAAGACTGTATTCCTACCTCAAAACGCTCCACTTTGGCTGTACAATGTCACGGTTTACAGAGTCGTCCGTAGGGTACGTTAAGGGATAAGACCCAGGATATTTATCCCCCATCGTAATTTTTGAACCCTGTTTCGATGTTCGTTTCTAAAATAGTGTATGCCTATGCCAGCGAATGCTCGCTTGGTGCTAGCTGAACATCGACCAGGTATGCCCGTGTGTGCTGGCTGAGCGCTGTTGGTCAAGTATCGGCCCAAGGCTCTGTGCGGTGGCTCAATGCTGCGGCCAAGAGATGTGTGTGTCATGTGTGGTAAACATGGGTGAAAGACTGCGTGTTTCAGTGTGTGCTGGCTATGCCAGCGGTATGTGCGTGTCGCTGACTGCAGTTGACTTGACAACGTTTTTAAGAGAATTCATCCCTCACTTACAAATTACCGTTGTGAACATTACTGTTATCAATATTCCTGCGTAATCTAACAGTACATGAATTCGTTTTATATGAGTAGAACTTTATGTTATTCTGTTGATTATACGTGTCCATTCATAAAAAACTATACTGCTTATTTTAATTTTTTCATACTCATATTTACTCTTACTATTACTTCAAGTATGTTTTGGAATAACAATACAAAACGTATTTTCTTGTTCCCTGCAATATTGACGTTACGAGACAGCACACCTTAGGCGAGGTACATGGACCATAAATCTAAGGAAAAACCAAGAGCATCAGCCAGAGGATGGTTTTGCCCGTGTGAACTGTCTGCGCGCTATTGTCGAAGATTCGACCACAGGCTATGTGTGATATGTTGAGCTTGATGTGGGCTGTTGGCTGAGCAGCAGACAAAGACAACGTGTGCTGCCTCTGTGATGTTGGTTGAAAATTACCAATGCCACAATGTTGGTCGTCTTGTTGTGAGCTCGCCGTCTGTTAAGCAGTGGCCAGAGACAGTGTGAGCTAAATTGCGCTGGCTAAGTGGTACTTGGTTGAAATCGGTCAAAAGCCGTTTGGTGTCAGAATGGCAATAAGTTCCGCTGACTGAGCATTATCCAAGGATTCTGTGAGCTGTGAACATTGCCCGAAGAAAAAGTGCTCTTAAAGAGCTGTTGAGTGAGAAAGGTTCAAGAGCTGTATGTGGTTGGCTAAGCATGTATCAAATACAGTGTGAATTGGCATTATACTGTTGAGTGAGAATAGATCAACGATGTGTGTGCTTGCCGTGTGCTGTTGTGTGAGAACGGGTGAACGGCTGTGTGCTGTTGGCTGAACCTATAGGAAAGATGGAGTGCGCTGACTGAGCGCGGACCTAAGGTAGTGCGTGCTTTGTCTTTGGCTGAGCGTGTAGCAAAGGCAGAGTGCGCTGGCTAAGTGTCCGTTGGCTGAGCGCGTAGGAAAGACAGTGTTTGGTCGCTTAACGCTGTTGAATAAGAATAAGTGATGAGCTGTGTGTGCTGGATACTTTTTTGGCTAAAAGTGGAGGAAACCCAATGTGTGCATGAACGTGTAGCAAGGGCACTGTTTGGTCGCTGAATCCTGTTGTGTGTGTGTGTGTGTGTGTGTGTGTGAGAGAGAGAGAGAGAGAGAGAGAGAGAGAGAGAGAGAGAGAGAAAGAAAGAGAAAAGAGCTTTGTGTGCTAGTTACATTGAAGGCTGAGCGTGGAGCAAACGCAGTGTGTGCTGTTATGTCAGAACGGTTCAAGGGCTGTGTCGTCGGCTGAGCGTGGAGCCAAGACCGACTGCGCTGTATGAATGTGTAGCAAGGGCAGTGTTTGGTCAATGCATCCCATTGGGTGTGAGAGAGTGAAGAGCTGTGCGCGCTAGCTACGTTCTTAGCTGAGCGTAGAGCCAACGCAGTGTGTGCTGTTGCGTGAGAACGGTTCGAGGGCTGCGTTGTGAAGGCAGTGTGCGCCGTGTGTTGCAGCCCGTGGGCATGTACGCGCGCAAGTACGAGTGGGCGGGGTCGCGCGACGCGGGCGACTGCAGCCTGCTGGTGCGCGCCGCGGTGCTGGAGTTCGACGACGGCGAGTGGGAGTGCCAGGTGACGGCGTCCGAGTTCACCACGCAGGACGCGCTCACCTCGGCGCCCGTGCGGCTCGTCGTGCGCGGTGAGTCGTCACCTCCTATTTTATAACTATTGTTTTTTTAGGCAATAAGTGTCCGCCTTATGTTGTGTGATAAATGTTCGCTGTGCCGCAAACCTTGAGATACACCACATGTTACGTGACTGGCTGTCCGTGCTGCATGATAGGTAGCTACGTGGTATTCCCTGTCCAATTGATTATGAAATCTTAAAGACAAATAAGTCACAATGTGCAGCAGTACGTGTTCTCTGGAAATAAGTTGTTTTGTGCAATGTAAAATTACCTTACCAACTAATTTTCTAGTAACATATTGAAACTACAACATGACATCATTTTTTGTACGTATTAACTCACCATGAGTAGAAATTGTCACCTTTATTGTACAAGATAACATGATGAAGAAATCATAACAGATTTGGAACGTTGGTGCTTTTAAAATTGAATTAAAGCAATAAATTTCACTAGCATAAAAAATGTTTCATCGCACTAAAAACCTCGAACTTTATTGACTTACAATACACATTTATTTTTGTTTTTTACTTATTAAAAGTCAAAAAGCAGAAACAAATTGTATATCATACCGTTAGTACAATCAATACACGATTTTGTGAGCCCCGAATTCCCTACACTAGCTCTATAATAAGTTGGAATATGAATGTAGGTAGATTCTAGTGACATTGACAAGATTAGATATTAAAACAGTAGATGTTCCCGTGTAATGAAAACTATTTGCAGTCCCAAATAAACTAGAGAGTTTGGACCTTATTCGTTATTGCGCTATACGTGAAGAAATCGACATGCAGCCATGGAGTGTAATCTTACATGAAGTACGATTATTTGAAAAATTATGTTGTTAACTAACACTCCACTTAACACAAAAAACGGGCACAAATTGTAAAACTATACTTCCTTGTACATGTATTCAGAAAAGTGGAATAATATATTTCCCTGGAAACAATGAGAAGAGCCGAGGGTAGAATTAGTACATAAATATTTCTTAACATTTGAGAAGCATGATATCAAAATTTGTTATCTAGAAGACAAAATATAATGCGCATTGAATTAGTCAGGTCATACGATTGAACATTTTCACATGTGATAATTATACTTGTATGTCTATTAAATAAAAAATATATTTTCTGATTCCATATATCACCGGTGTGTTTTGAAAACTTTGGAATACATTAATAATGCGATTTAAACTTCATTCAATAGAAATTAATTGCGATGTTAATACATGTTGATATATAACATCGCATTTAATAATTATTTGAAATTAAAAAAAACTAATATGAAACAGTAATATCGTGGGATTTTTCCAGTATTAAATGCCCTGCCTATTTTATGACAATTAAATGTAAATATTCAGGTACATTTTACCTCTTTTAAATATAGTTTGTGCAATTATATCATAACAAAAATGTATATTTTTATAACTTATATGAACTTTTCACTGCCAGATGAAAGTCTTTTGTTATGAGCTTCTAATTTAACGCTTTTGAAATAAGCATTATTAAATATAGAAAGTTTATAATAATAATGATTACAAACTATTATAAAATAAATGTAATAACTTACAATTCGTATACTTCAATTGTCAGTTTTACAGCTCATTAACAGATACACGATACAGACAGTCTTCAAACCACGACGAGAACTGAAATATTAGAAAAAAAAGAGAAATTTCCTGGAATTTATGATTATATTGACTTAAAAAAATTAAAACAGTAATACATATTGAACAATAGTTTTTCCTATTTTAAGTGAATTATTTGAATTTATTATACAAAATGGCAACAGTTATATACGAAATAAATATCGTAATTCATTACAATTTGAGACAGGCTGATATTCTTTGCTGTTAAAGAGTTCATGCATTTAAAATAATGGTTTTAGTAATATTTATTATGAATCAGACCTAATTATTGCGAAATTTGACATTAAATTATTAAAGTGGTGAAATTATTCACGTCGGAGATATTTTATTTTATTATATTATGTTATATTATTCTGATCATGTAACGTAAAATCGATAAAGCCATTAATTTAAGTGTAATTAATTAGTTTTAGATGCCTTGGGTAAAGCACATTGGAAAGCAGTTTAACTTTTATCACATGTAGATGATAAAAATGTCTATAGCAAAATGTAATTATCCGTTAAAAACAAAAATAAAAATAGGTAACATTTCGAAAAATAGGAAGGAGAACACGAAAAACGTAAAATGTCTCCGAGCAAAATGTTAACAACGCGATTTTCTGGTTCGAGACCAAAGAGTTCTGCGACGCCCAGCCTGCCCCTGTCGCTAAGCTCAAGAAGATTGATTTTTCAATGACTGATGTGAATATCGTTATATCACCATACAAACGAATATGAGGAGGAAGACAATTTTAAGAAGTAGTGGTTTAGTAAACAGATCGTTTCTGCCAGACTACTTTTTTTAATTAGTTGACCTTTAGGAGTTCAAATTGTTTGTACGTCTTTATAATACAGTAATAATGTGGTTTAGTTGAGTATTATTCGTTATAATTTACAAATTAAAACATCTAGTTGATTATAACTGGGCACTGGTTAGACAATCCGAAAAAACGTTGTTTTAAATAGAAAATATTGTATCCTCAAATATCTTATTGTTTGTTTTTTTTACACTAAATTGATTGTTGTTTGCTACGCTCTGAGGTTATATTACTTTTAGTCTTTCTTTTTATTCCTTTACGTTCTACTTGCTCGTCTTGTCGTACGGCCTGTATTTTCCGTGGCACCCCGTACATCGCGTCTTGAGGGCCAGGCTCTTGTCCCGGCCGCTCAGTCTCTCTGGGCAGCGCGAGCTGCGGCGGGCGCGAGCGGTTGTTCGGACGGGCGCGGGGGCGAGGACAGCCTCAGCAACTGGAGACGCGCAGCCAGGGAGGCATTATCCTCACCCCGCCCTCCTCCCCCTGCTGGCCCCGCCCAACCCCACCTCGCACCGCTCCGCCCTCTACCTGCTAGCCCCACCCACCCTTCCCTCCCCTCCTCGCCGCGCCGAAACCCGCCCGCCCTCCCCGCCTCGCCCCTCCCCGCCTCGCCCCGCCCGCCCCGTCTCGCCTTGCCTTACAACGCCCTTACCCCGCCCCCGCCCCGACCCTCCCCTCCCCTTCCCGCAATACCCCGCCCCGCCCCGCCAGTCCTCGGCAGGGTGGCTCTCGAGCTCCTTTGTCCCACGGCACCTTTGTGTTGGCGCAGGCGGCGCGGCGGCGGCGGCGGTGGCGGCGTCCACAGCTTCTCTGACGTCGCACCTCGCTCCCCCCACCCCCTCCCGGCGGACCGCACGTGCGGGCGACGGCTTCGCCCGGGCTCCCACACGCCTCCCATTACTTTAAAGTTTAACCCTCCTTTGCTCTGCATCATTTAGGGCGTGTCCCTCGTAAAATATAATATCGTCCCGGCGCGCTGCCGCCAGTTTTGTGGAGTGACACATCTTTCGCTTGAACGACCTCGCATGTTCCTGGTAAAACACTCGCTGAGGCGTTTATTTTCGCATTAGCTGCGCCTGAGATTCCCTACATGAGGGGTTATATGAGAGGTATAACCGCTCCTGAGCGATCGCATGGTGCAATACAACTAGGCTTTGGATTAAGAGTAGAACCTGCGCGCATTAGGCATACTGCTCGCGGGAGGCAGAGGGTGGCATTCAGTGATGGACCAGGTCACGGTCATTGTATTCTCTGAATAGGCAACATTGCACTCAAACTAAACCGTGGGGAAGTAGCAGCTAGAATGCAGAATCGTGACACCTGAATATTAATTTTTAGAACAAAGCACCACAAAACGAGGATTTTTAATTTTTTAAATTTGTTTAAGTTTAAAATTTGCAGTATTGCGACTTCACTGATAATAGTGTAACTTAAGAAGTGTAACGAACTATCAATTTATAGCTTCTTATGATTTAAGTAATCTTATTAGATGTGCATATGCTAATCGGGATTACAAAAGTTTACAAGAATGGGTTCTAAATCAAATTACCGAATCCAAAGAGAAAGCAAATGTATCACACTTATAACAAAGATAAAAAATCTTAAAGTTCTAGGCTGGTAAAAAAATGAATGTGAGTTTAGAGTATGTAAATCCGCGACATGTCTATCAATTTAAATTTCCAAGTTGACGTGCTGTTGGTAATATGCGGAACATGAGAAACCCAAATACACTAGCAATGAGTCAAGTCGAGCGCAATTAGTTTAACAAAGGTAATGGTAATACCTGAATGTGCCGTGAATATGATAATTACTGGTGTCAGAAGCATTGCTTCTACAGGCACCAAATTGAATTTTTGCTTCTCATTTCTTGTTGACGGTATATCAGGGCACAGTGTACCGTAAATAAACAACTATTCTTGTGTGCATGTATCCCTGCTAAAACAATTATTCATATTTTTGCATTATTGGAGCTCTAAATGAAGAAAAATCTTCCTAACCATAATACATGGTTTCTGAATTTCTTCGTACGTACATCGTTTAATGTAATCTTTTCGTTGCTGATTTATCATATGCAATACTACGATTACTTTGGTAATTGTCGATAAATTCTCCACTGACGACGCGAGGAGGGAAATTATTTGAGAATTTTTAAAACACGAGTGGTATTTAATATGACTATTCCATGAGTGAAAGTATGTACAACAGAGTATCAAAATGCGCCAAATATTGAAAATAATTTCAAGCTCTGTCAAAATCACATGTGACACGGCGATCGATGTAGTACACCGCCGCCTAAGATAGACGAGTTACAGTTTACTATTGGCCAGTAGGGCGAAGCGGTAAGAAAAATTGGATAGAAAAAGCTGTAAAGGTTTTGAAATACACGCCCTAATGGGAACATTTTGTTTGTATAGTTAAATACTATCGGTTTTAATTTCATATTCAATTTCATTGGTGGAATAGTCAAGTATAATTTACTTCGGCACTATCCGTCTGCTTTCTGTCATCCTCTTGAGTGCGTAAGTAAAGCTTAACAGTACAAACGCATGGACATTTTAGGATTAGAATGAAAT